TTCCATGGTTTATAGCCTTTCCCCTCTCCTCTCTTTATTTTGGATGTAGGTTTAATCACTGTGAATTCGTTACCTAAAGGTTGGACAGGTGAGTCCTACATAGACGTACAGCCTAAAACTACCCTGGGACTGAAGTTGACATCCGCTTAGAAGCCAACATTGTGGGTGGACTAACTACCTACAGACGCTACACAATCCTGTTCACAGTCTTGCCCGCTGATATCTAGGGAGTTTGGGATGCTGGGTACATGTAAAGCTCAACTGACTTGGGATTTTGCCTAAATGAGACCCAGATTGTCTTCTATGTCTGCATAGAGGTCACTGCAGAGGTCAGCAGATGTGGTTGGCTAATCTTTGTTGTATGGGATGAACAGCTGCCAGGAGGCACAGTCTGTGAAAAGATGCAGGATTCAAGCTGGTATCTCTCCTTCTCCACTTGCTCCCAAGTAATCAACCTCTGGCTTTCCACATGCATCCTGCTCTTTCTTGCCCGATGGAGTGTGGGCACCTTGCCACAGCTTCCTGGGCCAGGCGGCTCTTCCCCTCCCACAACTCCTTCAGATCAGCAATACTTCTCTTGCAGAGAGTAAACGCTAATGATTAGCTCCTGAGGGCTCTTAGGTTCTGAAAAAGTTTGAAAAATTCCAGATGCAATGATAAAATACCCTTTGTAACTGATTTACAGATGCAGTGGATGCCAACAACAGTTCTAACTGGCTGTGTTTCTTCCCTTTCAAGTGTGTGGTAATCACAGAATCACAGAATAGCTGAGGTGGGAAGGGACCTCTGGATGTCATCTTGTCCAAACCCCTGCTCAAGCAGGGCCACCTACAGCCAGTTGCCCAGGACTGTGTCCAGGCAGATTTTGAATATCTCTAAGGATGGAGACTCCACAACAGCTCTGGGCAACCTGTGCCAATACTTGGTCACCCTCCCAGTGTTTCCTGATGTTCAGATGGCACCTCCTGTGTTTCCTGTGTAATGAGGTATCTATCTGTGGAGTTTTTAATGCTGTGTGCATCATGCTGCTTTTACTACATCGTCAAATAGAGTGTTTGAATACTCAGAAGTCTAATACGGATATGAAGAAGTATTTTCTGCAAAATACTGTCTCCATGGCTTTTAGCGTGTTACCTCTCTCAGATGTAAGAAAGGAACATTACATGGAGCTGAAGTCTGCTAGACCAGCTTGGAAAAAGATTCAACTATTATTTATCCACAAAAAGGTTACAGAACAAATTTTTGACACACTTAAACGTACATCCTAATGGTAAAAACAGCCAATATCAATAATACAGAAAATCTCTCTGAAACCCAAAATTGGTCTCAAATTAGAGAAGGGTTTTAACTGGACACATAGTACCTGGGAATGTGGACACAAAATTGTCATAGGGCCTTATCATGATTAGAGTGACCTATCAATGGAGAGTTAGCGAGAAGGGAAAAGAAATAGATCCTGGAGTCTCTTATGGCACACCAGAATAAAATCCTGAAGCTTTGCTCTTCAGGTTATCAGCTCAGAGACTTGTGCTTTCTCAGGTGGCTTTTTGTATCCTCTTCAGACTTACCAACCCCTTTCAGGGCAGGGTGGATAGAGCTCCAGACTCCCACACTGCCTTTCCTCAGCCTTTGACCAATGGCAAACTCAAGATGAAGCAGGGGGATACCCTCCAGGACTAGCAAAATCAGGAAAGGGATCATGAAGGCTCCTGAAATAGGTAAGAAAAAAAAAGATGTTTCCCATCAGTGAAGTGCTACAATAAAGCACAAACTTCAGTTCTGAGGGCTTTTGAAACAGCAAGCGAGTTGTAAGCATACTTGTGGAAACCCTTCTCCAGTTTCTGAACAATGCTTTTGCCTGATTGCCCAAGCAGGGGACTTCATTACATATGTGGTTTCAGGTAGGAATTCTTATTCTTCCCACATGACAAACATAAACACAAATTATACATGCCCCAGGTTAAACTGCGAAGAAGCCACCTTTGGATTGCAAGTGGAGGAAAGGTAGTTACTTTCCCGGAATGACATCCTTTTATTTCTGCAAAAGTTTATGGTTTTATAATTGTGAATCATGCAAATTATATGAAGTAGTTGAACACATTAAGCAAGATGCCTCGAAAGATTAGGCAGTAGCCTGGGGCTGTCTGCCTAAAATAACCAATAACTTCCTGGCAACTGTGTTCAACAGTTTTTATGTTTGAGTAGAAGAGATCTAAGTTCAGGGTTCAAACCTTGTTAATTATGACAAGACTGGTTAGTATAGGACAAGTTTTTAAAATCAATTTTTTCCTGAATAAATTGTCGGACATGGAGATAACGTATAACATCACAGTGGAATACCAAAGTGCAGAGTCAAATGCTTGAAAATTGCTACATACTAGAATTATGGTTATCTGTCATTACAAAAAGTCTTTAACGTCCTAATCATGGGCAGTAAATAATCTAAGTGCATTAAAAAAATGCAAAACAGTATGTGAAAGTTCAGGTCTGGGTATTTGCTGACTTTTTCCTCATGTATGCAATGAAAATCAGATAACAGTGAAAGAGGAAATTTGAAGAATGGAAACTATAGTTTTGAATTCAAGGCAGTTGAATGTTTTTCGGAGGAGCTGAACTGCATGCTTTTCTGCTCCACGGGGTATCTTCTTGACATTGTCTACACCAGAGTTTTAGAAATGATCATTACTGCAAAGTCTTCATTTTCTGTGTACTTCAATAAAGTCTGATAAAAAAAATATTGTTGTATCAAGTGGCCACTATTATAATGAAATCGGCCAGCTATGCTTTTTGCTTTCCACTCCTATGGAATTAAAGTAATGCTAATTACTCACCTGTCTTTCATTGACATTTTTGAGATTTACTAATCAAAATCAGTAGTTTTGAATACAAAAGATGCTATTCAAAATGCTGAGCACTTTGAAAATGCACATGCCACACATCAAGTTGAATGACTAATCACTGATGAACCAGCAAATATATTTTTTGTTGAAGCCAGTTGCCAAAGGTAGCTGTGTAGACATTATATTCTCAGACTTCAGTAAAGCATGTCATTTAGCAACAAAAAAACTTCTTACTAAAAATTTAACACTTTTCAAAGTCAGTGTAGCTCATCTTGTATGCATTAAAAACTATCACTGTAAAAACGGAGACTGACAAACTGAAGAGGTTTCAAAGGAGAGACAGAAGAATAACTGACTTCAGATATATTTTTTATTAGTGAAAAACTGAAGGACTTATTATGAATTGTTATTTGTAGAGAAGTTTGCTGAACTTCCAACTCTGCTGACTCTTCCTCTCTGTCTTCTGTGTCAGTCTATCACCTTGGGAAATGGGTAATATGGACATCGTCACCAAGGAAGACGGTATCCCATTTATTTTCTTCCCCACTTCTCATATCTCAGCTACGTTCCCTTTTCCAGAGACCACGTAGTCCTTGCAAGAACAAAAGCCTTGCATTAGTGGGGAGCAGCTACCTGTTAGATCTAGGAGCCTCAAGTTGGTACTCTCTCACCTTGGAGGAAAGAGGCTATTTTGTAATGCCGGAAAGGAATGAAGGATGGTGGTCCATACTAGATTTGAGGAAACCGAACTCCTCTAGTTGCAAATTCAAATTTAGCACTGTGATCTTAGCTGAGATATCATTACAAATGGTATGTAGGTAAGAGCTAAAGCAATTACTTCCTGACTTGTGTCTTTCTGAATATGTATTTTCACATGACAAACATGTGAAAACGTATAGGGCATATTTCAATTTTAGAGGGACTAGGTTCATTTCCAAAACAAGGTTCTTCTCCTCTGCCTTCCCACCACTCCGGGGACTTTTACAAAATTACTGGCAGCAGGAGCTGCTAATGTCAGATGTAACAGGGCAGTCCTCTCTCCATGACTTGTTGATTGGCTGCTGAAAGGCAACTACACCAGAAATGGTGATGTACTCTTCAGCTGCCTGTGCCCCAGAGTCATTGTTGATGATGCAGAAGTCTTACCCAACTCTGGCAGAGGTTCTGGGATTCGTTGAAACTGTGTCAGGCTTGGTCACTGCGAGGAACTGACTCCCTCTGTCCTTTCAGACAGTTTCTGGCATTTCTAAAGGTTTGTCCCATTTTGTCTGTATGAACTTGCTTAGCTGTGCTGGAACATGCACTGGCATGCATGTTAAGAGCCCCTCTTCGTCTGATTAGACATGCAGTGCATGCAGATTTGGCTTCAAAGAGTTTGCTCTCTACCGATACCCCACCCTATTTCTGTGAATAACACTTCTCCCAACTGTTTTATTCTTACTTTCATAGAAAACATGATTTTTGCAGTGTACGCGATGAGTGTCCTCTCACTGTTGAGATCTGTCCCCCTACATCCCAATGGCTTCCTTCCTACCTGGGAGGGTCAGTGGGACAACCTCCACAAACAGAGCCTCTGGCCTTTCACAGAGACAACGTTACTTAATGCGTGGAGCTGCAAGCAGCCAGAAATATGTCACGTGTTCCAACCTCATGTCAGGCTGGCACAGAGTTTCCCTCCTGTTGCACTCTGTCCAGGAGCTCTCATGTGGGTAAGATGAGATAAGGACAAGATAACTGTGTTTATACCAGCAATTTTTAGTTCCAGAGCATTCTCTCCATTTTAAGCTCAAGACACCTCCTAAGAGTCTGAGACCTGACCCTACAGAGTTTGTATGGCTGCTCCACCTGTATCTTTTCTTTTTACCTCCCCTTTCAGATGCTGGATAGGTCTCTGCTGTATTGCAATCTCACTTCTCTCTGGTAAAGCCCTTCCTCGGCAATGGTAATTAAGTCCAGAAGATGGATCTGTACAGCTACCTGATCCAAATACTCCTCACTTGCACTCAGGGTAAGTCCTTGTCACCCTTTGAAACTCAACTTGCAGTGTTTTTAGATCATCTCTTGAAACTTAAGAATGGACTGGCAGTTAGTTCTGCTAAGGTGCATAGCTTAACTACCTTTGCTCCTAATGGAGACACGTCACTTTTTTTTCCATCAGATCACAGTAAGATCGCTTAAGGACTTGATTAGAAATCCCCCTGGTCAAAGATTTTGTTGTGTAAGGAAATACACAGCCTTTATAGTCCTTTCAATCTATGACCACTTGTTTCTTATAATACCTGTCAAAGAAAATATTTTTTTTTTGTAGTTACCATCTCTGTTAGCAGAAGGGAGAGAAGATCAGGCCATTTCCTATGAAGCATTAGAAGCATTTCCTTTAGAAAGCATTCAAAGGTAGTCTCAACTTTTCACTTTCAGTAGAAAGCAGGCTGATTGATATTCTGATTTGGGCTCCATTTTTTCCATGTTTGAGACATTCTTGCAAACCTTAAATGCAAAGTGGACCTCCACTCATACAGCTTTAGCAGTCTGGGTAGACATCATGCCTCACCCTCCAAGATAGCGAGATTCAGCAACAGCACTGTCCCTGCACCGTAACTCTCCCTGTGGATAGCACAGTGCATCAAATTTGCTGCAAGTCTCTCAGAACTGAACCATCTTCTGTGGTGGACATGCCACAAGCGCTCTATCAACCTCAGGAGATTTCCTGAGGTCTCGAGATACTTACAGAGGTACCTTTATTAAGATGTCATAAAAGAAGTCTTTAAGCATGACACATCTTTGACAGAGCAGTCAGATAAAGGGACTCCATGACCTTCCTTGCGCAGCCACAAAAAGGGGAAAGGATGCCCTTTGTGGAGCCACCTATCACATGAAAAAGGTGTGCTGTCCAACTGTGTGCTCACAGCTCCCCAGATCCTCGCTACCTTGGAATCACTGGGAAATAAATTTCAGGTTCTGGGATGGACACAAATGGAGAAGGTGGGTCTCTGTCCACCCCTTTTGTTAACACAGACATAAAGTACATGGTGTGTGTATACACCTGCAGTGCAGAATCTATATCCCTGCACAAACAGATACAACTGAAACATTTCTAGCTTGAAGGGCTCGCCATGTATAGTATGGTAGCTCTGATGAGTTAAAAATGCAGGGTGTGTCATGTCAGAACTGGACAAATAAGTAAAACTACCTATATTTAGCTGTAGGAATATTGGTATATTTCCAAGAGAAATAAAATGGCAGTTCTCAATCACGTATGCCACTTTTTTCTCTTTCTTGGGTTCTTCTCTTTCCAGGGTTCAATTCTAACAGCCAGCTCAGAAATCCAGCTCTGCTGTATTTTCCATTTCTCTCAATTTCTCCCCAACCTTTCTGAAAGAAGCTATAATGGAAAAATAAGCGACAATGACTCTGCAAAGCTGCTATATGGGACATAAAAAAAATAATTAAAAAATCAATGCTTTTTAAGCTGTCACGATTTTATGAACCTAAGAAATGAAACAACGATCTGAAAATAAATGTTGTATATGAACAATGAGTAATCTTCCAGTCTGAAAGCTTACAGCTGAGATATTAGATTCTCATCCTGTTTCAGTACTGTATTTCAGAACACACAATATTTGGTTTGAACATCTGTATAGCTATTAGTCTCTCTTTAATCTAAGAGTTTCTAATGTGAAATTGAAAAAAATTTTATTGCTTTCACATAATTCCTTATAAAGGGAAGACAGGTAGACTTCAGACGGAGCTGTTTTTCTATGCTATCATATTCTTAGACCTGAACTGTAGTGAGGGTACCAGTACCAGTGAGGAACTGCTGATGTCATTACTGTCACTTCATTCAGTGTGGCATGCACAGAGATGAAAAAGTTCTCCCTCACGCAGTGGCAAGGTTTACTGCAGACATATGTGCGCCATAGACTTAGAGACTTCTTTTTTTATCAATGGTTTAAGCATTAAATATACATCCTCTTTTTTATAATACTTATCAGGGATGAAACACAAATGTTTAACAGTTGATTAAATGATGTGTTGCTCAATAAAGTTTAAACAAAAGCTATGTGTAATGTCAGAGAGAGCTATCAAATGACAGGAAATTTCAATCTCATCAAGCTGGTGAAAGCACCGAGGAAAACACCATAGATTTTACATTGTGTGTATATTGAAATCTAGTTCACCTGTGGTGATGATGCATTTTACAACTTTTAAGATGTGAAAAGGATAAAATGTGCTTTACTCTACTAAATTTTACTGGGGTAAATATTCAATTTTTAAAAATATAAACTCATAATCTATGATAACAAAAGTAAGTAAATTATGTAACCACCAAATCCTTTTTGTATATTTGGGTATCACAGTGTTAAAACACTATCATAGTGTTGTGTTTAGGAAGAAGCAGCCCTCAAATAATTTCAGACTTAAGTTCAAACATCTGAAAATAAGAGTTATCTATAAACTCAGTGTTCCTAACTACCTTCACTACAGTCAATTTGCAGAGAAAAAATCCACCTTCCTTGAAGTCCAAGTACTACAAGGGTAAATTTTATACTGCACTGTAGTCCATTTATGTTTCATGAGGGATATACAATGTGCAAACACTGATTCACAAGGTAGGTGGACAACCAACCTCATTTGGGAGTGTCCTTGCTGAAATACTGACTATCTACACCCTTGCTACCAGACCTCACCCATGCTAAATGACTCCAAACGTTCATTCATATAACTCATATTTCAAAAAGAAAGAAGGTAAGATAGCAAAGCCAACCCTCAGAAATTAGAAACTATTTTCATGAGGTAGTCTATGCAACCTTGATTCTGCATGCACCTTATGAAACAACCTCTAATTATGTGATCACATAGGACTTTTTCCTCATCCTCTGCAGATGTTTACTGTGTGGTAAATAGCTGTATTTTTTTCTCTCTCTTATTGCATGGCCATAATCCACCATCATATCCAAAGTGAGCTTTAGGATTCTATAAAATAATCATGCCAGGGTCAGACTGAGGAGCAGCATAATCCCGCCTCCATGAAGGCATAAAGTGTGAAGATATGCACCACCCAGGGTAAAGGTACTGGACAGACTAGGGGAAAATGGAGCTGCCTCAGTGCACTCATGAGTGTGGTGTATGCTTTGTATTCGTTAACTTGGAAGAAGGTGCATAACGTTGCAGTTTTCCCCTACTCTGTTACAGAGGCACATCTGTGTCCCTAAGTGGGCCACACAAATGCAAAGATGAATGAATCATCTTGGCAACCATGTTGAGTGGCAAGGACTAAGGCAAAACTTGTCCAAAATGTCTAGTAAATATGTATTTCCAACTGGAGGTAGCTGACACCAGACTTAAGAGTGTCTGTGCAATCAAAGATGATGCAGGGTGCTGCATCTATTGGGTGTTTGCTATGCTGTGAACATGGCTGAATGGGAATTAGAGATAAAGGAACCAGAAAATCTCATGAAGTAGAAAATATCTCAACACCAAAATATCTTCAGAAATAAGAACTTCCAGATCTGTTTTTACAATACGGATAGTCACGTGTTCAAATTCAAAGCTATCTATCCAAAGAACAGCAAGACCCATTTTTTTTCTGATTGAAGGGAGAAGTTGGAGAACAGGTGCTGTAATGAGAGGATGGCAGTGGTGGCAGGAGTTGGATTTAGACCTACCAGAAGAGGCTGAGGTGCACCGTACAGCAGGGAAGGAGGAGGAATTGCACAACAGCTCTACACCCTCACATGCGATGCAGTTAAGGAGGCCTTTCTAAGAAGCCACAGGAAGGCGTTGCGGCTCACTCTTATGTATTGATATAAGTCACAGCATTTGGTGTTAGGCAGAAGAATTGATAGAGAAAGTAGCAAGTCCAGCTACAGGGACACATATCTGTACAGTAGCTCTAAGCCCAGAGCCAGCTATGTCATTTCTTTGCTATGTCCTGCCTTTCAATTTCTGCCTCAAATTTGAGTGAGAGAGTCCCAGGGAAGCAAGAAGCCTGGGATAACTGTTGTTAGTGTTCCTGAGCAAGGACAAGCCACAGGATGATGAGAAAGGAAAATAATTGCTGCCAAAGGATAAATTAAAACACAGTACTGACAGGCACACACAAGCAATTCATAAATCTTCACTGACATGAGTCAGAAAACCATGATCCATACCAAGTTCTTTGCATCTGTTGGCTGTTCATTTTTCAGCTGCATTTCATATGGCTAGAACACGAGGGAAAGGAAAGATAGACAGAAAAGCAGGAAAGTGCCTATAAATCAACCCTGGGAAGCAGGGCATGTCCACATTCTAAGACTAAGTAGAAGAACCTGAGAAGCCAATGAGTGCCATGAATTTTGGAGATATCCATCCACTTTTTCAATTTAAAATTGTCACACATGGAAAAGGGGTTATGATTTTTTTGTGTGTGTGTCTTGTAACTTTTTTATTACAAGAGTTGGCTGTGCTGCAAATGACCTTCAGTTTGCACTGCAAACTCTAACACCAGCCCATTAGAAAAATCTTAATGTTAAAAGCATCTCTTCTTGCAACTGAGACATCTGTTGTTAAACATGCCTCAGTTTGTACCAGCAGCTCCCCACAGAGCCCTCCTTGGTCTCGTCTCTAACTAGGAAAAGCGATTTTTAAACATCTCTCTGTGTACATTTAATGAAAATTACTTTGAAATACCGTTCCTTAAGAGAAAAATTTTCTTTCAGGATCAAACATCACAAAGGAACAAACACTTTTTACACATATCCCAGAGTGAAATGCAGATAACAAGTAGATAGTGGGCAGAAAAGACTGTCAGAAAATGAGAAATTTATGTTGTCGTATAATATTTAAGCAACGGTTCAGCTCAAGATCATCTTTAAAAACAAACAGCAAAACAGTGAAACAACATTTTTAATATGGTCATTCAGTCCTAACCTGAACCCTAAGGAGTCACAGTAAATTATGTGGTGAATAGCATACATTTGGATTTGAAATTACTTAATAACACCAACTGCTAAAAAAATATTCTTAACATTAACTACTTTCATGCTGTTAGTCCTGGCATAAATTACACACACACTGATCCTGCAGCTGATACACAGATCAGTCCAAACCCAATGAAAACCCTATTATGAAAAGATCGTTTGGGATCGTGATCAGAATCATACTCCCAAGTAGTTTATAAACATTTTTAAATATACATTATATAGATGTATGTATGTAAAGTAACATTAGTTTTAGATTGAGAAAATATACTATGTACATGACAGTGCAAGACTGAGTTGATCAATCCTGTGGCCTGAAATAAAAACAGTCCCTTCCTTTTCTTCCATCATTAACGTGACTTCAGTGGGTGTTCATAACCTGTGAAATAAATAACCTTCTCCATTAGACAGTCTTCTAGAGATGAACATCACTGTTCTTACAGGAACTGACCAGTTCTGAACATATTCCATTATTTGTCTCCCAAAAGAGAGATTAAACCTAGTTTATAGCCAAAGTTAGCTAAGATATATTAAAGACATACCTCCTCCATGGCTCTGACAGAGATACGGAAACCGCCACACATTTCCTAAGCCCACGCAAAACCCTACGCACGTCAGCATATACTGAGCCTTGTTATCCCATTTTGGTCTGGAGTCTGCCTCTTCTTTCTCAAGGACCTCAAGTTCTGTATGGGAAGGTATCCTGTCCTCCAGGCCAGGATTGGGCAACTGTAGCTTCACCATATTTTAAATTCCTGACTGAAAATGCTGCCCCAGTGAGGAGATAATGAAACAGGCAGCTAGTTAGAAATCTGCGTAAAAAGAGAACATCTATTTGCTGTCTTCAGCTATATATAGTGAACCTTTGGCACTAAACTTGAAAGTGCAGGCTTGTGGTAAAAAGAAGCGTCAGCAAATCATTCGATTGACCAGGTCAGCTCTGACACTTATTAATGCTTTATTTGTCAAGGTTTTATGGAACAATCTGTTCATCTAGTAGAAGACATTGATTTCAGCTAATGTAATTCAGGAGATAATTTGGCTATAAACTGTAATCACCTATAAGGATATGTTAACACCCCTTGCCACTCCCCGGTTTAAACTCGCTTAAATACATATATAGCCCTAGCAAATAGGGAGTAAAAAGATTCCACTGGCCTCAGACCATATATAGATGTTTCATTCTATTTTTTATCAGGAAGATAAACTGCTTGTGAATCACCGTGACATTCAGTTTCCCATAATGTATGCTTACAAAATTGTATATTCCATGATAACTACCGAAACATGGTGTTCTTTCTCTGTAAGAGATCTTAGTCTACTAAATGCTCTGACAAAAAGGATGGAGAATGAAAAGGATTATAAAATCTGACCTTTAAAATCATAAGCGTAATCTGCTTACCCTAACACCTCTAATCATTACAGAACAAGGTCTGAAGAACATAACATCTTTCTTGTAAATGGGCTTGAAATCAAAGGTCCCTTCACCTTTTCAGTGACCCTATGATACTCTGGTCAAAAATGAAAAAGAGGCACTGGTTAACAAATAGCACAGATACTACTCACATCCTCATTCTTTCAGTACAACTATAGCAAGACTGTTCCGTTTGTACCTCAGTGTTATAAAAAGTTAAGTACTTGCCACTGAAAACTATATATAAAATCTAACACAGTATAAGCCATAAGAAAGAAGTTTGTCAGCTAAGCCCTACAGGCTCATTGCATACAATGATAGAGGGTGGTCAAAATAAAGAACTAGAAGGGATCTTGTAAGTCCAGCCCCTGCCAAAGAAGGTGAACACATCACGGCATCCCTTTGCAACCTTACCAAGTTGATTCAAAATTGATTTTTTTGTACTCCCTATTTCTAAAAGGCTGGTCTGGAATTTCAGTCCTCTTATGCCCCAAGAAGGCTGTTTATTATCTCTTGAATAGAAAATTTACAAAAAAAAGTCTTCATCCTTCACATGGACAACTGCATACAGTAGCCCAGATGGATTTTCCCTGTGCCTTGTAATTAGGTATTAATACTTCCCTAATTTGACTTGAAATATCTCTATCAGTCTGCCTAGCAATAGAACTTGCCTTTTTCATGACCCCGTCAGTTCTGTGGATGGGCTGTCTCCTGATTAACCACTGGATCAAAGCCTTTCTTCTTCTCTTTTGGTGGTTCCAACTAAGGATTTCCTAGCTTGCAGCAGAACTTTTTTCTAAATTGCCAAAAGCATATTTTAAATGTCACCCAGTTTCTGCTACTGCAGTACATTGAGCTACTCAGTTCTTCCTGAATGATACTTTTTCAGCATTCACAATACTTCTGAGATTGTATCATGAATATTTCACTAACATGCTACTATTTTTTGTCTTTAGTCATTAGTGGAAGAATGACAAAGGACTGTTCCTGAACTGATCCTTGAGGAACGGCATTAGTAACCTCCCCTTAGACCACCATTTCTGCTTTCAGCACAGCTTACCATCATCACCAGATGTTTACCTAGTTCTTTGTTCGTGTTATATCTCCTGTTTAGCTCAGCTAATACATCCAGTTGTGGTCAAGTGGCAACTGGTCTACTGAAGTCCAAAAAGACTACATTTACTGTACTTCCCTTGCCTAGAAAAATCAATTTTCACTTATAAGTGGCAATAGAGAACTTTCAAATTGCAGCTCTTCAACTTCCAATTTTGCAGAAAGACATTGACCTATTGATCAATAGCAAGAAACTGTACGGTCCGGGACCTCACAACTCATCTGTGTTATTATTCTGCTTCCTGAATCATAGGAGGATAATCCTAGTATTCATGCTGTAGGGAATATGAGGCAGTAATAAAAAGCAGACAGAAGACAAATAGGAAAACCCAACATCCTCCCCATAATATTTCTACATTCCCTGACTTGTAGGCTTTAGTTCTAAATCTTTGCAAAGTTGTATGTAGAACCTCTTTCAATAACTGAATCAGATCATGATTACATGCTGTCCACACAACATATCTTACAGCTACAATCTAATGACTCTATGTAACCAGAAATTTTTGACAATCAAGATTCCGTGCAGAATTTATTGAACCTAAACCAGCATGTTTCTCTTTAAGCACAGTGCAAGCTGACATGGCGGGAATGAATGTAGCTTCCTTTGGGAATCAAATTATATGAGGACAAATTGATAGGATATGAAATAAACTCACACTTGTGATAGGATGATCTGAAATTTTGTCTCTGCTAAGTTTCATGTGCAAGCAGTTTCTATCAGGATCCAAAAATACATTCCAGATCGCTTTCTCCTGCATAAATCCAAAATGTCTTTCTGGAGAAGTTTATCTTACTTCGGCAATGCCACGTTCCAGTGCTTGTTAGTTATCTATCAGTTGTTAAATATTTGCAGAAGCAAATATGCTGGTATAGCATCTAGCTCAAATTTCTTTATCAGTGTAATTGCATGGGTAATGATCTTGGAAGGCACAGCACCTTTTTCTGAAGGACCTGCGGTAGCAATAACACCAGCTCGAACATGACCTGCAATTGCACAGAAGGGTTGTCTGTATTGCCACCCTGTGGATTTGAACAAGTAAGTTGGGGCTGCTCTGCCAACTGTAGTCACAGTCACTTGCTTATTCGACAGAGCCCTTTCCTTTGCTCTAAGGTAAACTTCTCCTTCCAGTAACACAAGGCTTAGGTTGGGCACATCCCACAGGGTTTGTTATGGCTAATAAACCTCTATGAAATCAATCCTTTTGCAATATAGGCTGCTAAACAAGACATGTTTTGCAAAATGCTAATTATAAATGCAGGAGAAAATGGATCTTACCTTTAGATTGGATTACTTGTGTTAAAACATTTCTAATGACACATTTGTCTTTTTGTCTACTACCCCCGTATTTTTAATGTACTATTTTTTCAAAAGTTAAAAAAGGCTATACAAAAAAGTAAGCCAACTTTTCCATAAGTAACTCTCAATTTTACAAAAACTGGATCAAAAAGGAAATATCCCTTTTCTAAAAGTCATATATTTTACTGGAATATACACGCATACACATTTGTGGAAGAATATGGGCATATTCCTTTTCCTTAGATGAAAATGTCTTTCATCTCGCAGGACAATGAAGATGTTTGTTAGGAAGGAGTATGAGAGGGGGTAGCAGTAAAGAAAAGAAATGGCAGTATAAGGATATCAGGGTTGTAAATCAAGACAACAGCAAGAACAGAGCCACTTGCTTCCCTCTGCAGGGCCAGGTCCAGGCATGGTGGGGTACCCACGTGGATTGAGGGGCTCCTGGCTACGGGCAGTCCCCAACCTGTCTGTGGTAGCCTGGGCTCCACAGGGACTGTCTCTGGCTGGGAGGCAAGCTGTCCTCCCCTGAGGTGTAGGTGGAGCCTGACATCCTCTCCTGAACTGACCACCTAGCAGCTGCTTCTTCTTCTGACCTTGCAGGGGTCTCTCTTCGTGCTGGCGTGGGCACTCCTGGGCCAGCACAGCTCACTTGCCCTGCAGGAAGCCATCCCTGTATGGAGAAGGACAGGTTCTTCTCTCCTGTGAATGAGTTGAGTTGACTGACTGAAGGACCTGTCTGAAGCGCCAGTCGTCTTCTGCCCTCCACCATGGGCTGGAGGGGACTGCACTGGGGGAAACTTTTCTGGCTGGGTCCTGTGAAGGGGAGGACAAGGAGCAACCAGCAAGACAGGACAGGGGCCTGTTCTATAAGAAAGCCAATTCCTTTTATTTAAAACCATTGCGAAAAGCAGAGAGCAGCAGCAATATATGTGGTTTGCATCCAGTCATAGTTTCAGGAATGAAATACAGTATGATCCTTTCCTTGTGATCCCATCATCCCTGGTATGACATAGGACAAGTCTGTAACTTTCCAAATATTTTCAGAGTGACATTTATAGAGCATTGCAGCTGAAGGCAATTAATCATAAACACTGAGTTTGTTCTGTAATCTTGCCTTACAATATACCATGCTATTAGGATTAACGACGTTATTTTCTGACCCTTTTTAGTACTATAGCAGATACTGGTGTGAAATCTCTTACTCTAGTTATTCTGTAACAATATTTCAGAAGCATTAATCATATTTTTTTCAGTCAGCTTCTAATTTCTAATCAAAGCAATGTATACAGCAATCATAATTACTCTTGGTTGTGTGATAAGCCTAAAACAAGAAAAGATGAAAATGTAAAGATGGTGGTAACAATACAGCCAAATGCCTAAAGCACAGGATTCTCATTTGGAAGTGTAAAGTGGTAAAGATGTAATAGAAGTGAAGAAGAAGAAGAAGAAGAAGAAGAAGAAGAAGAAGAAGAAGAAGAAGAAGAAGAAGAAGAAGAAGAAGAAGAAGAAGATTCAGAGGTTAAATGAAATGCTCTCTCTGTGTCCTGGTTTTGGCAAGAAGAAGAAGATTCAGAGGTTAAATGAAATGCTCTCTCTGTGTCCTGGTTTTGGCAGGGTTAGAGTTAATTTCCTTCTTAGTAGCTGGTACAGTGCTGGGTTTTGGATTTAGGGTGAGAAGAATGTTGATAACACACCAATGTTTTAGTTGTTGCTAAGTAGTGCTTACACTAGCCAAGGACTTTTCAGCTCCCCACGCTCTACCGACTGAGAAGGCTGGAGGTGCACAAGAAGCTGGGAGGGGGCACAGCCAGGACAGCTGACCCAAACTGGCCCAAGGGACATTCCATACCATGTGACGTCATGCTCAGTACATAAACTGGGGAAAGCTGGCCAGGCGGGCCACTGCTCAGGGCCTGGCTGGGCATCGGTGGGTGGGTGGTGGGCAATT